TCCTCATCTTCAGGAAGTCCTAATTTACACTCGCGTTTATACTAATTGGTTTTTTTTGTTCGATGCCAATTCATAATTCTATACGACCAGTCCAGCACGTTCAAAGGTCAGATAATGCTACCTGATGATCAAAGAAGCAAATTCACAGCTCTTGCATCTTGAAAAGCATCCATTATTCGCTGATGTTTTTATTTATGTAATCTGGGCCAATCTTCTCCACTTCTGGTCATCTTTGGCCATCTTGGTCTATTATTGCCTCCATTGCGTTTCTCTTACTCTCCGAAGTGAAATCTTATAGTCTTTTTAACACACTGAGTTAACAATGACTCAACACGTAGACTATCGTAACACGGTAACAAAATTGAACCCTTTCCGACTCTCAGGACCAAGCGAAAAAGAATTTTTCTTTTCATTGTCCAGCAATAAAAAAAAAAAAAAAACAAAAAAAAAAAAAAAAACCACAGGTAGATCGGATAATCCGGCATAAAAAATTACGTATGAAGACCAAACCTTTTTAAATTTTGTGTTGGTTTGGCAGCGGCGGAATGCAGCATATCTTTTAAATCGAGGCAGGATCTCTTATTCTAAATCGAATTTCAACTGTATCCTGTATGACTGCATGCTTGAAATCTTTTCTTATCTTCAGGAAGCGCTAATTTTCGCCCACACTTGCACTAAGTGGTCAACTTTGCACAATGCCAATTCATGATATGAGACAACAAGCATCGGTTGTCCTTAAGTACTTTTGGTTCGCTCACCTTTAATGCATTTTTTCACGTAGCAACATACCATCCCTTAGGCAAGCTAACCATCGACGCCATAATTACCCGATAGCGTAAATTATCCTTTTAAACGCTATACCATTGGGTAAACTAGAGCAGTCACAGCGACTAATCAGAAAAAGGGAAAAATTCATGTGTAGCCAATGAGAATTCAGAATGCCGGAGAGCGCGGGAAAACGCGGGTAACCGTGACCAAGTGGCGATTGGCATCACTGAGTATAACATCCTACTCTTGATTCCTTCGGTAATTCTCACCACTTGATTGCTGGAATAATGTAGTGCAACTGCAAGTAGAAGTTACACCTTAATCTTCAGTTCTCAAGGCCGGTAGTTCAAGCTGTATTTCTACATTTCATTTATCATATAGAATGCACGAATAACTCAATACATAAATAATTTTTTCTTGTTGTTGTCACTGACTAAAAAACTTTGTGTGAGAACGTTTCGGTTAAAATACTATAACCTTCTTCAGCAATAAATGGCTACGAAAGCAAATGGGTGCTTTAAAAAGAGCCGCAGAAACGTCACTTGGGATTGCCAAGGGCCTTGTAAATGTCAGGAATGTAAATGTGTTCATTAATGGCATTCGGTACACAAATGTTGAATGCCAAGCTTCTAAAAATAATCTTTTCGACCATTGGGAACAACGGTCAATGATCTTGATATGTCAATGATGTTTCTTATCATGCCTGACTACAACTATAGTATTTTTAAACTCAATACATAGATAACAGAATTCCGAGAACAAAAAAAAGACATGGATCAAAAGCGTAACTGAAGAAAAAAAAGTCAGGGTCACGATAGAAACACCTTCTACCATTGAGGATCTCAACCGTTAGCTTTTTTCATTTTGGGAATATGTGGTCAGCGCGTGAAAAACCCAACCTCCAAATTAGTAAGGGATTTGTTCCCTGGCTAGACGGTTTTTGACACTTTAATAAAGTTTCTACTACTTCTACTACTACTACTACCTCCTCCGTGGTTAAATTTCAAATAAAAGAACATCTTAAGTAACGTTTCTTTGGCCGTTGGCAATTAACAGTACGGATAGCCCCTGGATAGGAAGCGGTGCATTGATCCCTACCGGTAAACCATAACTGAGCTAGTTCCCGGCAGTAAAGCCTGAACTGAGGATTTCATGCTTCCTTGGAACTTGTACCCCGTAGAGGTTCCCGGCAGATACTGTGTAGCGCCCCTACCAATTAATTTAGCTTCGAGGCCCTCACGTTAGGAGCGAGGCAAATTTTAGTGAATACTCTATTGTTGGAATTTGATCACCAATGATATATTAAATACCACATCGAAAGTTCCTTAATATCACCAATTTCCGTTTTTTCATTAGTTCAGTGACTCCAGTGGTACTTCGTGCGTGAGCGCTGAGATTCTTACTGATACTGTAAATGCATTGTTTATAAACGTGTGAGATTTTTTCCAGGTTTACACTCTCTGGCATAATTCTTATAACTGTCATCTTCATTACAAAATCTGCCAGTTTTTACTAATTTCTACAAAAAGAGGATGTTCCCCTTCAGGTTTATGGACGACATTCTAAGAATATATCTAATTTCCGAGAAAGTCCATAAAATAGCAAATGGTGGTATGTTTCATACAGACATATTGCTCAAATAGTGCTTTACTGCGAAGGATCGTTCTCATATACGAGACATAGTTATGTAACCTTGTCTTTTTCAAGACGCAAAAAAATGTTTTCAAGGAGTTGATTACATCTCTGTTGTTAGCCACGTTGAAAGATATTGGCAATACTTCACTTTCTTTTCTCTCTTCATACCAGCTGGACTCGATGTGCGTGAAATTTTGAGGCGTTTACACGAGGTCTCTCCACTGCCAACCATATCATGGCAATTTTGACAATTTTTTTTTTGGCGTCATTAATATAATACCCACGTTTGTCTGAAAGACCTTGCTTATCGCGTGTTTATTATTTTTTTAGGGTAACTTTACGTCTTGGGTGTGTTTAGAATAGGAGGAGTTCTTTGAAATATTTCAGGCGGATATTATGACGGGTCGAAATTCCAAAAAAGTGATGAATTAGCAGGCTTCATCGCATCTTCGTTCTTAGTCATCTATGACCATAAAAACAAACGCATGTAGAGCGTTAGTGATACTCTATTTTGATGCAACTGTATATAATATATTTACAGGAATCGTGTCCCCACGTCTCTAAAACATAGCAGAAGCTCTACTGATCCTTGCGTGAGTGCCCTAGTGAACCGGAAACACGATTGCAATCTTTATTTTCCAAGACACTTAAAGTAATATATTGAATCAATATGCTGTTGTCAATCGAGGCTAAGAATATACAACGCTTCTCAAACTCAAACTGAAATGTTTATTGTTTAAGGCCAATCGAAGCAGGGCAAGAACTCAAACACGACTTCCTGAAACGTGTTTCGGCCTCTTTATGCTTTAGCATGAAGTGTTTTCGTTTGATTTGGGTTACGTTGGTTTCCGATACGCGGGAATTAGTGATCGTGGAAGAAAGTTTAATGGAAAAATAGGCTTAAAATTAATACAATAAACGTAGGAAAGATTAATTAGCCATACATTGAATTTCAAGGTGTGCACTTTCGTTCCAAATAAACCATGATAGGAAAGAAGATTGCGGAAAAAACTTTAGATCGCAGGCTTTCTCTTTCCTATGAACTTAAAAGCTGAACATTCCAGAGGCAACATTCTTTATAAGTGATCAGTGCTAAATTGGCCCTGTCTCACTTTGTACGGCTAAGAATGGGCTCGTAAAAAATATCTAGTGAAAATATTGTACAGACTGAAGCCGGTTTTGTGATAGTCTGCTCGCGTAAATTAAAGCTTGATTATATCTTGTCGAAGAATTCCTATTAGTACTGACACGAGATGTCCAATCTTCTTTCTGCAAGCACGGTCTTGCCCTTACCCTTTTCATTCTGAAAATCGGAAAGCAGATTCTCCCATTTGATGACCAGATATCTTTGGTCGACTAGCCTAGCTAACACCAATGGCCGGGTCGGATAGTTGTCATGCAGAAAGGCGATTTAAAATGGAGTGGTATCTTTTATAAGACACCATTTTTCACTGAAAAAAAAATAAATAAATAAAAAACAGATTGAGAACTAAACCCTTATTTGAACACGAACAACAGCTCATGTTAAGGATTGAATTAGTTCTTTACGACGATACGATCAGCGTAACTGACCCTGATGGTGAACTTTCGAAACCGATTGTGGATGTTTACTATTCGGAAACAGTAACGAAAGTCTTGGATCTGTTTTGTCCTCAATAGTCAAATTACCATAAAGCTGTAATTAGTGTGGTTTGCAACCAATCTCTAGAGACACAGGTAACAATAGTGAAAGGAACAAATGCTGGTGGACGAACAAAAGAAGCTTATGAGATAACCATTGTTTACGTCCACCAACATGACGGCCATGACGTAACGTGCAAACCACCTATAGACTATTTTTCATCTCTAAACGAGTTGCAATTTTAACATGGTGAGGGACCAAAACAGAATTTCATCTTACAATGACAATATACTGTATCAAGCAGACAAGTGATGAGAGCAAAGGAAACTACTGAGTGGGAGTTATTGATAGATTCAATGCCAAATTCTCCAAACTAACACAAGAAGAATCGTATGGCAGACAGTAAGAAGAATTACCCATGAGATCTTTCGAATCAAAGGGTTAATTTGTTACCAGCATGTTTGCCTGTTCAATGCGAAGCGAAACAGAGAAAATTTTGTCGCAGAAAGCCTTGTCGAGGGTCTCGATGGGGTGGTGGCCTCAGTTTACGGCAAACGGTTAAAATTTTGGCCATTTTACGGCTAACGGTTAACATCATTCCGTTGTGATTTAAAAGTAAAATTTTTGCAGGTAAATTTTTTTAATGGTCAAAAGTTAAAATTTTTACGCCCAACGGATAAAGTTTTTGACCACATGTTTTGTGGCTAACGTTTAACCTCATGGAGAAATTAATGGAAAGCTCTTTTCAGTAAAAACTCTTCTGGTGTTTCATCAAGTTAGAAAGTAGAGGTTTCATTAGAACACAAGTTTATTTACCAAGGTTGTTCTTAATATGCTTTGGGTACCTATATCACTTGCATACGTAAGCCATAAACAAACAGGAAACAACCAGACAACAAACAAACGACAAACAAACAAACAACCAAACAACAAACAAACAAGCCAACAAACAAAAAAGCCAACAAACAAACAAACAAGCCAACAAACAAACAAGCCATGAAACAAACAAGCCAACAAATAAACACGTAACCAAACAGAAAACTGCGAGATGAAAAAACATTGTTAGGAGGTAAGAAACAAACTGATAGCTCTTCTCTTTGGGAAACTACAATCTTTAACGCAACTATGAAACGGATTAACAATTAAACGCAACGCCTCCTATGATGTTAAAATAAAATGATACACGAATGGCAAAAAAGGAAAAAACTGTCCAGCTAGAAACAGAATGTAGAAAAAAAGAGGTCGTCACGGTGCCAAAACCGAAAACAGCAATACCCCCTGCTCAAATTCTAGCTTTCCTGCCTTTTTAAGCCTACTTCAGTGCAGTTTTTGCGTTGCGGCTGCTACAAGTTAAGCCCCTCAGTTATATTTTTCGATTTCATTTCCTTCACGAATATAACTTTCTGAAGGACTAACTTCTTGCCAATTAACAACGCATACGTGGGGCTGTTAGCAGAGTCAATAACCTTAAACACTACCACTACTCAAAATCAGCTGTCGCCCACGCACATCTCATGAACAACTCATGACCGCAACCGCAAAAGAATGACAGAATTGCGGAATATAGATGCGCACAATGCTGGTTCCGCCAGTGTCACTTTTGACAACAACAGAAATGGGCCAAAGAATCATAGCATTGCTCAAGGGCCTTGTATGAGTTTAATGATTAGTAAATTAAATTAGCATATGCCTCTGAGATAAATTCCTTTAGAGGTGCAAGGTATAAAAACTTAAGCATTTTTTGTTCAGTCTCATCTAAATGTTCTTTCGGGTATTTAACAAAGCCTATTTGCTCGTCCTTAAAGAGGTGAATTTTTATTGATCGTATTAATGATAGCTTTGGAAACTTATGACCTTGATTATCAGTAAAAAATCCAGCTGGGTTTTATAGGGTGGACATTTTTCCCTATCACGACCAGTTCAACATATCAACTGTCCTTAAACGTTGCCATAAGTCTCATTTCTAACAGTGTTTAGAATTTGTATGTACATTAGGATCAAGTCGAAATTAATTTTTCTCTGTTCTTCAGGAGCCATCTGCAGATGAACAGTGTTAAGTATTTTCGATTGCTCAGTTAAATAGAAAGAAGGAAAAAAACAAAACAAAACGTCTGCACAAGGACAAATTTTACGAAGAGAAAATATGTGCAGAACTCTTTGTAGACTGCGCTAACCTCGTGGGATCAGTGACGTACTCTTGAGGTGGGAAGTCACATAGAAATGTGCAAAACAATAACGAGATTTATCTATTCACATTTAATGAAGTAAACTCTGTTAGGTAACTTCGACAAAACACGAAATCATTTTTCACTATCGGAAATTGTCGCGTGAACAATCAGATTTGCAGTAGTAATACAAAAGTCTATATCATCAGTGAGTCGCTGTGTTCCGTCGTCCACGAGGGAATTCCAAACAAGTTTCTAAATATATTTATGAAATCAATCAACTCCTTGTTACTTGATGTGAAAAAGCCTTAACCGTGACGACCAGGCAAGCTGTTCGTGGGAAATTATTGGACTATGCCACCTTGTCGCTCCTTTGTAAATTTTGAGTTAGTAAACAGTTTATTGCTTTTCTTAGCGTTGCATGAAGACCAGGTTTTCCGGCGACTGCGTGCATAAGACATCTGTCGCTCAATTTTCGATATTGTAGTTGATCGATCTGTTGCCTCGACAACGGACAAAGTCAATTATGATAATATCTAAGAAATGTGCTCGAGATCTCCACCTCTTGAGTAACGATGTTGATGGCTTTCGCGGCTGGAGCTCAAGTTTCACGTACAGTTGAACTCGAGAGGTTTCGAGATCGTGTCTTATTGTCAACGCAGGAATACACTTTGCATGTTGCATAATGATTATAGAAGTTTTGTGTGACTATACTTAAGGGAAAGTGAAATCTGAGTTGGCTCGCAGATGTGAAGCCATGTGCTTAAAAACAACATTTCATTTGTCAGCATTCTCTTTCCGTTTTTATCCAGTAGGTGGTCGCCGCGTTTCTTTTTTTCCAAGCAGAAAATTATATTTTGAGGGAGCTTTAATTGCCTCTATTGGCCGGGTCCGCAAAGGGCGTGACAAATGTGAGCCAATGAATAGGCCACATTCCGATACATCTAGCAGAGTCCCTCGGCAACCAATCAGAGCCTTGAAATTTCTAACCGGAAATAAATAGACGTAACCGCGCACACGTGGTCGGGGCAGCGGACCTTGCAACCTCAGGTTTATTTTGAAGGTTTGATCACACTTTTTCATTCATTCAAGCTCAGGGTTGTGTACTTGATCAAAGTAAGTTATGTTTAGGACTAGCGTGAAGATCGCGATTTGGCCGGCTGATTTAGGAAAAAATGTGATTATTCTTCTATTTAGGCATTGTTTGATCGAAATACCTGATTGAATTGAAACCGTATGCAGCCCCCAATTCCTCCGAGACTGGAGCAGAATTGAAGTTGAATATTTACTTTCCTTTTACGAAGCACTATCAAATCTCTTAACTCTTTTAGGGGACGATCCGATTCTGTCTTTAGCTCAGGTCTCTGCAACAGAAGGCTCACCTCCATGGAAGATTGAAGACCGGATTCTTAGGATTTGGTGGCAATCCTTACAGTTGGCCAACGCGATAAGACGGGAGAGAATCTTTTGTCAACCCCAGAGGCATCGCCATGTCACGCTAAAGTGAACAAAGCACATCAAAGAATATGAAAGCCTGATCCTCGCAGATTGCTTCGAAATTCTGAGCAATGGCCCAGAAGTATGAAGAGGTGGCGGAGATCGGCAACGGTGCATATGGTACTGTCTATAAAGCCCGCGATCTTCAAAACGAAGGCCGTTTCGTGGCTTTAAAAAGAGTGAGAATTGTAAACAACGGCGATGAAGGAATGCCACTATCCACCATTCGTGAAATAGCTCTTCTCAAGCAGATCGACAATTTCGCGCATGAAAACGTTGTAAGGTAGGATCAATAATTTCTCTTGCTTGTTTAAGCTGCAACTACTGAATTTTAAGTGATAATTGGGAGATCCAGAATTCTTGGTGTCTTGCTTTCCCATGCAAACCCCCCAAGAATCTTGCGAAACCCCAAGCCCTTCCCATGGTCAATAATGTCTGTTTAATTTTATTTTTCATTTTTCTGCGCTTCTATCATCGATGCGATCCTAATAAAGTCTAAACAATCTAACTTAACTCAAAGAAAAAATTTGAGAAGGGATTTATAGTCGTTAAATTTGGCCATCAGAAAAAAATACATGATTAAAATTCATCTTTTGTTTAATCGTTGCATTCCGAGAAGCTTGAAAACCTAGGGTTTCACGCTTTTATTTGCGCAACTTTAAGCTCAAAATATTCAGTAGAATATAGAGGCAAGATGTTATGTATAGTGTAGGATGCATCGGTATGTTGTAATTGTCTTTGAGGCAGCATGTCAGAAATTAATTTCGACTAAAAAACATGTTTGTACATCGCATAATTAAGGGCTTTAGCACTTTAATGAGGAGTAATTACGGTGCTTAATGGTGTAAATCACAGTCCTTTTACAATGTTCTTTTGCCTTCTACTGTACGATGATCTTCACGAAATGTCGATTAGATTCCGAAGAGACCTGTGTGTTGCCCGGCGAGCTGAGGGCTTTTTAAAAAACGGAAGTTGTGTATGTTGTTGCTTTCACCGGAAGAGAACGTTACCAAACGAACGATACTCTGATTGGCTGAGCGACTTCCCGCGAGGTTGAAGGTGAATTTAAATCACCTTTCACTACTGGACTTGCCGATCGCTTCGATTTTGTCGCTGCAGAGCTCTGTTTTACACACTTTTGTTGACAAAATGGAACAGGTTTTCATAAGATCGCTGTTTTTCTGACATTTATGCTCGCTAATACTCGCAACAAATTGTTTCTGGAGGCGCTGTTTACATTATAATGACGTCTCATGTTTCTGAAACGGGATTGAGTGATGTTCATCTCGACCTTTCAACGCGGTGTTTTAGCTCGATGTGAATACGAGCAAACACAGTAAGAAGAAGATTTGATGAAGGATTTTACATTCCTGTGGGATTACTAGAAGGCTTGTTTATAATTCAAAATAAATCGAAAACTGTCGGAGTTCAGTGACAGAAAGACGGCATAAGCGATAACGCTTGTCACTTAACGGGCATTCTTTCCCTGTTTTTTTTTTTTTTTTTGGTTCTAGAGTTGACAGGTAAGAAATTTGATCAACGATTTGTTTAGACTAAACAAGACTTTTTCCTGTATCTCCTCGGGAAATCAATCGATGATTTACATGCCCACCGCGATCCCTTTTGATTCCACCATTTTAATCTTAAACATCTTAATTAAATTTTAGCCATCGTTCTGCCCGCAATCGTAGGAAAATGAGTATCACATTTTGTTAACGAAATAATTCAACAGAAACAGTAATTTTGTTTATTTTTAATTCTTCCCTCGAAATCCTTTATTGAATTTTAAACGAAATTGGGGCAATTGGTGATGACCTGATTGAACGTTCCCCAGGCCTTGAAAGTTTAGGATGTTTGAAGATCGAGTTTCAGCAATGAGATGAACGCCTTTAGTCAAAATACAGTTTGATTGAGTCGAGTGGTCGAGTGAATTCTTCAACAAATAAGTACCATAACTCAAACATCGTTGCATATTTCCATCTTCTCACTCTCTTTGAGGGTCTTGCTGGGATTTTGCCTACAGTAAATCCTCTTCTTGGTGTTCCGTGATGGAGAAGGGCAATTGCCATCTTTTATTGCGGGAGTGACTTCCTTATCTGTATTTCGTTTACTTTTGAGAACATATGCTTGCTAACACTGAATCTTCTCTAGATAATTGTCCATTGCGGTGTACGTGATTTCACACCTACGTCTTTGATTTTGTGGGACCCAAGAGCACGACCCTAAAATATTTCATTGTTCTGTCATTAGAGATAGAGATGATTAGCTTTTCTCACATTTCAAGATATACAATGGTGTCCATGTCGTGTTCTATAAAAAGATCAAGTTATACAAAGTCACCAGGCTGTTTCAATTTCAACCATCAAAATTGCAATCTCGATTGTAAGGACTGACACGAGATATGTATCATAGCCCTTTCTTCATCATCATTCCACACACCCCACTGTCATTTTTGCGTGGAGTGGGGTAGGGGGGGGGTACAAGAAGGTAGACTTTCTTTGGAGTAGACTCTTTCTGAGTGAAACCTGTCTCTTCCAGTGATTCATTTTTTTTTTTTAATTAATACTAAGACCTTTAGCATAACTGACAGATGCAGTGACACTAGAAAACTCATACCATATTCCAAGGTTGCAACTCAAGCCCTGGCTGTGAAATAGGTTTGTGCCCGTGGGCATGGCACTCGGCTTTTACAGTTCTTTGCTCCATGCAGGACAGGATTTAGGTCTAGAAACATAATATGTTAGGGAACCTTGATCAAACACCAGAGGTAACCTGTAATATCATTCATGGGGAATGGCAACATCCAAGTCATTCTAGGATAAAGAACATTACATGGGATAAAATTCAACACTCAGAGAAGGTTGGGATCATTAAGTCTTCAACGGTCTGATTCTACAGATTGGAGATTCACTTACCTTCAGGAGTGCACTTATAAAATGTATTTGCCTTTGCCTCTGATATCAGCAATGCCATTATAGACTATCAGATGATGGCACTGATGCACGAGATCAGAGGCAAAGAGCATGATCTTGTGCCAATGATGTTAGGGTAAGTAAGGTGATTTATTGGGTTCCTCTACTTTTTTTTTTTTAGGCTTCTGGATGTTTTTCATACAACTTCACCATCAGGCCATGAGAAATACCTTTCCCTTGTGTTTGAGCACATTGAACAGGATCTCAGTGCATATCTCGACAACTGCCCTCAACCAGGATTGCCAGAATGGAAAATCAAGGTATTATTGTTTTTCCAAGGAGAAGTACAATACAAGGGGTAATGATTTGGGTTTGAAGATTGATTTGATCTTGAAGGAGACATAATTTTACATTTCCTCCAGGACACATAATAGGGATCTATTGCAAACTACAACAGGGACAGCAACGGGGATGTGGCCAAATAAAACATCTAATGGGAAGAACAATAGCCAGCACATGCATTTTAAAACTTTATATATTTCTCAGCTTTCATTCACAAAACAACAAAGTGAAATCACCAAAATCTACATTATCTGTGAAAGGAAACTACAATGGCAAATTTGGAACTCAAGGCTGCTTAATATATACATTAGGCCGAAGTTGAGGTGTAGCGCCGTAAGACACTGTAAACACATGCAGCCATTTTTGAAATTCTGACTACAAACAGAAATTCATATTTTCGCATTCATCTTCCTTGGTGTTGCCATCCTGACTGCTATAGGTCCCTAGTGACGTGAAGACATGTCCCTGCCCACCAGAGGTGATCTAGGGGAGGGCACTGAGCCTCCCAGTAAATTAAAGACCAAAACTAGAGCCTACAAAAGCTAAAATACTTTGCTCACCTTCATCATCTATGAGAAAATGCTCTCTCCCTTGTCACAAGATCTTTCTCCCATCTGCCCTCCCCCTGGAGGGTATTTTAATTACATGTAAATCACTTCCACGAAAGCATAACTTTCCAATGGGATAAAGGAAAAACTCTTCAAAATGTCTGGTTATCAGCGATTTACACACTAAATAATGGATGACACATCTAAAACCACTTAATTTCCTCCATGTTGAAGTATTCTAACAACCCATTCCAAATCTCAACAATCATGATCCATAAGTACTTTGGACTTCAATTTTCATAACATTATCAGGTAGTCATTATTCTGATCAAAGACATGCAATTCTGTAATTACGTATGGTTAAGTAATGACAAGTATGAATGAAAATCCATGTTTTGCTGCCAAACTTTAAAATGGTTGATCCATTCCTTTGGATTTGTATGTATGTGCGGATAAAATGGATCATGCATATTAAAATACTGCTAATACCATTAACAAAATTATAATTCCTCATTCTTCAAAGCACAATTCCTGTAGATCACTTGAAAGGTCAAATTCTTTGGTATCTGTTATTAAAACTCCTTTTCTAATGTATATGCAAAACAGCTTTTATTTTCCAACACCCTCTTAATTATAAGACATCAAACAATAGCTAGTTGATTTAAAGAAAAGCTATTATATTGGTTGAGTTCAGAGTGTGCAGCATTCATTAAAGAGTGTATGTCAGTTTCCATTCAGCTTGGATTTGGCAATAATACTTTTGTCCAATTAAGCAGGAACACTGTTCATCTCACATAATATAAGTGTAGGACATTCCTTTGGAAGAAATTACATGTGAAGACTGGCCAGATTAAAGGATCACTGCAGTAACAGTTTTTTTTCACAGAGATGTTTTCTAATGCTAATTTTGGGCTGAATATGGGCAAACGATGTTTTACTCTAAGTAAATTACAATTTAAGGCATAGAAGATAAGAGCTTGCTCCAACCATGTTATTGGAACATCTGCATGAAACACGTTTTTGACAAGGGAACACCATGTGGAGAAACTTTCACATTTAAGATACATGTGAAATAAAATAAATGAATTAACATACTGTATATAGATTTTTTCACATATCCTAGAGTGCTTTATGCATGGATATACAAAGCAATATATAGATTTTAAAGATGAGAGTTGTAACTTGAGTTTCATGGAATAATGATCATCAGACTGTAGCTTAAAATGAAAGACAAAGTTTGTGCATGGTTATCAATTGAAATTTAAAGTTATGATGGGCAGTAGTGAAACATTAGCTCCCAGTAGGTTGTGATTGTCAGGCTACAGGCCTCACTAAGAATGTGTTTCTTGATAATAGTAGATTACCACACTCCATTTGGGCAAATTACAAAAAAAAAAATAAATCCATGGTTGCTTGATGAGTATTCCAATTCTACCCACATTTGATTGCTCTCAGCAACTCATTTATTAATTTATGTGAATTGAATCATTATTCTTACGTGAACATCTTTCAAACTCCATATCAAATCTTAACATAACTTAACACAGAAACACATGTACAGCCACCTGGATGATAAGATTGCATTTGTATGGCCTAGTGATGCTTTTAAGCTGGCTCTTATGCCTGCAAGTCAAAAAATTGTTTAAAATTTAGTATGCTATCCTACACCTCTAAATGAACTTCCATCTTTAACAGCCTTGACTTACACATTGTCTAGCTAAATATTGAAAATGTGAAATAACCTTCAAGTGTCCATATTAAAATAATTGTTTTTCTCAACAACTCTGATTTTAGAGGAGAGAGTTTTAAAGAAGATGTTACTTGTGTATCATAAGCACTATTTTATCAAGGTTACCCCCAACACAAGAAAACAGATGAAAGCACAAAGCTGAACTCTGAAGGATACTGGTGCCTTTGAAAACTTTTGGAGCATCTTCAGAAATATTCTTTGTCTTGGATTTTATTGTGTCTTGCTTAAAAACACTCGCACCTTTGACTGAAAGATGTCGGCAGGTCCTAGACAATGTTCATTGTCTTAACGATTGACGGAGTTTGGCTGAAATGAGAAATTATTTTTTAATAACTAAAAGTTGTTAAATGTTACAAACTCTTCAATAAAAAATTCTTTCCAGGACTTGACACATCAGCTGTTGAATGGGGTGGATTTCTTGCACTCTCACCGGATTGTCCACAGAGATCTGAAGCCCCAGAATATCCTTATCTCAGGAACTGGTAGAGTAAAGATTGCAGACTTTGGATTAGCCAGGATATACAGAGATGCTATGGCTTTGACGTCAGTGGTAAGTATTAAAGATAAGACTGCAATCATTCAGGTAACCAGTGGCTTAGTGTCAAGTTCATTTATTTGTTTTAGCAGGTTGATTAATTTGGCAGCTGTAAAAGCTGATGTGGACCTGCTGT